AACAATGCTAAGTAGCCTGTTTCTAGTGACTCTCTAGCAATAAATTGCTTGTTGTTTCACTGCCCAATGAAGCCCTAAATGGGTTTGGACTTTTATACTTGAAGGACTATCTACTCCCATACATCATGTTTATAAAAAAAATCAGAGACCCTCCTCTTTGTGCCCCACCTTCCAATTATAGAGACATCATTGTTTTAAGTGATATAATCCCAACAGGGCTAGTTCTTTGCCCAAACAACCCAAGTGGCTGCCTGGAACAGTCATCCAGAGGAGGCGCTACCAGTACTTGGGTTGCTTCCAGCCACAAATAGAACTGGCAAAGCCAACAGGCACTGCCTACCCAAGCTGTTCCTTGCCAGACCTGCAGCTGCCACACAACCAGCAGGGTCTGAGGAAGTCTGTGATGTGCTGAGGAGTACATCTTGGAAGCATCCCTGAGGCTTGATTTAGAGCAACCCAAAACACCCACTGTAAATTCCCAGAGCCTACCCTCTACCAGCTGAACCAAAGGCAAGCCTCTTATAAAAGCAAGTTAAAATACTCTGAACTAGCCCTGAATCCAGACATTAAGCACAGTAAGAATGATCCTATGTACTGGAACATGACACCTTGTACCACAGACTAGTAAACCTCTGGGATTTAGTAACTGAAACAAGTATGTAAGTCTCATGAAATGGTGACTTGGTTTATGCTAGAGGGTAAGATCACAGAAGCAAGAGACCTAAAAACTGTATGATCTAGCAGTTATGTTCTCATTTTGCTCTAGCCATCATAGAGGCAAGACTGAGTTAAACTCTTCCTTGGGAACTATCCAGTTTCATGTGGCCAAATAAAAGTTCTTATCTAATCATGGCCTTTTTCTGAACTACACAAATATTTGGCAACAAATTGATCAACACATTCCAGAGCCAAAAGCTTAATGTGAATGAGTAAATAGATAAACTACTGTGTAAACAAACACTCTAACCAAATATGAATGATTTAAGCTTACTACCATGAGACTTTTATTTTTGTTTTGTCATCCAGCTGATTAGGAAGGGGCAGTAAAGCTATGTGCAGCTATGATCAATAGCAGCAATACACAGGATGCAGACTGTTTACTGGGGCAACCCTGAGGTAGCCAGCAAATGCCTAGGTGTCCCAACAAGAGTTGAGAGAAGTGGAAGAGCTAGGCAGCCCCAATAGTCCTTGATGTCACCTTCAGGGAGCCTGGCTACGCATTGCTGTCCATGAGAGGAAGAGTAAAGTAGAAAACATCAGGAGCATCTCCAGAGAGTGGGTGGCAGAGGTGGGGTGCGGAGGACCTTGTGACCTGGGCCTCAAGGTCAAAGGTGGCCTTAAATTTAGACCCTTTGATACATTTCCTGACTTATTTTTATTCTCATCTCCATCAGACCAAAATGTGATATATCCTCTCAGATTACAACTGCAAATTTAAGCACGCAAAAGATAGTCATTAACTGATATAGATTTTGATTTAAAAGTAGAAAGGGTCAAAACCATTGGGGAAGCCTGGAGACTATTTAATCCTATTTAATCCTAGAGGCTCAGAAAAAAATATATACCACAGGTTAGGAAAGGCACAAATAGGTATAGGAAAAAGCCTGCATGGTTAACTAACAAAGTAATGGAAGCTGTAAAAGGTAAGAAGGATTCCTTTAAGCGGTAGAAAGTTAGTCTCAGTGAGGTTGATAAAAGGGAAAACAGACTGTGGCAAATAAAATGCAAGTCTGTGATCAGGCAGGGGGAAAAAGGAATATGAGGAGCATATAGCAAAAAATATAAAGACCAACAATAAAACTTTCTTCAAATACATTAGAAGTAGGAAACCAGCCAGGGAGGCAGTGGGGCCCTTGGATGACCAAGGGGTAAAAGGAGTACTGAAGGATGATAGGGAAATGGCTGAGAAGCTAAATGCATTTTTTTGCCTCTGTCTTCACTGTGGAAGATGAGAAGTGCTTGCCCACTCCAGAACCACTGATTTCAGGAGCGGTGTTGAGAGACCTGAGTCAGATTGAGGTGACGAGAGAGGAGGTCCTATGACTGATAGACAACTTAAAAACTGAAAAATCACCAGGCCCGGATGGCATACATCCGAGAGTTCTGAAAGAACTCAGATGTGAACTTGTGGATCTCCTGACAAAAATATGTCAGGGAATTGAAAACAAATCAGCCAGTATCATAATGCCCTTATAAATCGATGGTACATCCTCATTTGGAGTACTGTGTACAGTTCTGGCCGCCACACCTCAAAAAGGATATTATAGCATTGGGAAAAGTGCAGAAAAGGGCAACTAGGGCCCCGGTCACACGGCAAAGTTGCCGTGGGAGAGGCACGGAAGTCCCGCGGATTTTCTGGGCACGATCACACCCCAACATCTGGGAAGCGCAGTGCTCCTGTGGCAAACCCGTGGCTCCCTGCTGAAGGCGCAGAGTTAAAAACTAGTACCTACGAAGTACTAGTTTCCGGAAACCGTGGGGCAAAGGCGGGCGTCTGACCGCGTTTCCGGTGGACTGTCGTGGCATCCAGCGGCTGCCGATGTTCCGGCGCGACCAAGGGGATTCCCCCCCCCAGTCTCCGCAGGATGCGGAAAAGCGCCCAACGGCGCACGCGCACAAACAGGAAGTA